CAGTACTTGGCGCCGCCGGACACCGCATAGGTCTCTACGTGCGGGAGCGGGGAGAGGACCAGCTCTCGACCCGTCCCCGCAGGCGCACCCACGGAGTACACACCCGCCGAGGGCGTCCTCGGGCCCACAGTGTGGTCTTTCTTCTTCTTCCTCTTCTTCGCTATCTCCTCTGCATCTGCGGGAGCTCGCTTGGCCGGCGCGGCCTCGGAGTCAGGGGCATCATCGAATTCCTCCGAGGCCAAGAACTTAGCGCGCGCCAAGGTTTCCTGGTACGTGGGGGGAGGATTCTTGCGGAGCTCCTTCCTCACCTCACCGCGGGGAAGGGCTGCTTGGAACATGGCCACCAACGCTTGATCATCCGCCCCGTGCACGTCTCTGGCTTCCTTCTCCCACCGGAGTATGAAGTCACGGACCTTCTCTCCTTTGCGGATACAAATGTTGAGCAGGTGGGAGTAAGGTAGCCTCTGCCTCCGGTTGGCTGCGAAGTGCGTCAAGAACTTCTCCGCTAGTGTATCCCAATCGTCAATGGTTCCCTTCGGGAGCCGGTTGAACCAATCGCACGCGGAGCCCTCCAGCGTCGCGAGAAAGCATCGGCACTTGATCTCGTCCGGGGCTGCCGCCGCTTCCATAGAGGCATAAAACTTAGACAAATGACCTTGGGGGTCCGTCGTTCCGTTGTAGGCCTTGATCTGCCACGGCCGAAAGTTTGCCGACAACGGAACCGACATAACCCTCGGAGTGAACGGGGTTACCGTCCGCAAGATGGGCTGGCTGTAGGGAGCCCTGGTCTCCACTCGGCGCTTGAGCTCGGCAATCTCACGAGCGAGCCGAGATACCCCCTGGTCAGAAGCCTTTGTCTTCTCAGTTCTTGTTGGACTATGGCGACGCTGGGTGCACTCGTCCCGTCTTTCTCCGCTCCGCTCGGGCCTGGCCGAGCGTGCATCCAAGGTCGCGGACTCCTCAGCATGTCTCCGCCTACCTTCGGTATTTGTCGGCGGAGGTCGCCCGGGTGACCTCCCGGTCCGTGGTCGAGCCTGTCGAAGGCCGACACCCGGGTCTCTTCACCTCCTAAGCGCTTGAAGGCCGACACCCGGCACTCGCTGGACTCATCGTCTTCTCCTTCGAGGATGTCCTCCACTATCACCTCCTCAAACACCGGGGCTTTGCCGGGCCTCCTTTTGCCCCTACGGGTCTTCTTCCCCTTGTGTTGGGAAGTGGCAGCGTGTTCGGCATGGAGACCGGGCGGAGCTTTGCCACCTCCGGCGCCGGGCACGTTCCCACCCATAGCGGAAAGTGCC